TGACTCAGGGGCACATTTTTGCTCGTGCACAAAGCAATTCGTGACACTGCGATCATGTCATCCGAAGTGCCCGCTGCGCTTGAGCGGGTGCTTGCCAGCTGGCTGGCATGTGCTCAGCGCTGAGCGGGCGCACGTGATTGAACGAGTGCGTGTGCCATTTGGCCGGCGTGCGTGCAATGCTGGGCAGGCGCACTTGAGCAGGCGCCATTCGGCTGACGTGCGCAATGCTGAGCGCCGCTGCGCTTGAGCATGTGTACAAGCCATTTGGCTGTCGTGTGTGTGCGCAGTGCTGATGGGTGCGCTTACCATTGGCTGGCATACGTGCAGCGCGGGTGCGCTTGGTTGGCTGGCGTGCGTGCAGTGCTGGGCGGGTGCGCTTGAGCGGGTCTGCTGACCCTTTGGCTGGGGACACTGAGTGGGCGAACTCACCATTTGACTTGCGCGCGCAGCGCTGAGCGGGTGCGCTTGAGCGGGCGCGCTTAGGGTTTGGCTAGCGCGTGCGCAGCGCTTGCCTCATTGACTCTCGCGCGTGCAAACCAGGTGAACTTGCTTGCCATGTGGCTGGCGTTTGCGCAGCGCTGGTGGCTGCGCTTGTGCAGGTGTGCTTTCCTTTCCATTTGGCCGGCGTGTGCCGCGCGCTGAGCGGATGCGCGTACCATTTGAGTGGTGCGTTTGTGTGTGCAGCGCTGAGCGCGCGCACTTGCCCAGGCGCGCGCCACCCGTTTGATTGGCGTGTGTGCAATGCTGAGCGGGAGCACTTTGAGCGGTGCATACCATTGGTCTGATTACCATTTGGCTGGCGGGTGTGCAGCGCTCGCGCTCTTACCGTTTGGCTGGCGAGTGTGTGTGTGTGTGTGCAGTGCTGCGCTGGCGCGCTTACAATTTGGCTGACATGTGCGCAGTGCTGAGCGGCTGCGCTTGAGCGGGTGGGCTTAATCAGGTGTCTCAAGAACCTCGCGCGCACACAGCTAGCTGCAGCACGCTCCCAAGAGGCAGCCAGTGGTAATGCTTGACGTGTACACGCAAAGCCCGCCGAGACGCGTTGGCAAACATACTGCCGCGCTTGAGCGCGCATGCTTACCCGCAAGCATGGGTGCCGGGCGCTGTGTTGAGCAGGCGCACGTCAGCGGGTGTGCTTTCAATTCGGCAGACATGTGCGCAGCGCCTACCATTTGGCAGGCATCGGTGCATTAGTGAGCGGGTGCGAGCGTGTTCGTCGGGTGGCGTGCGTGCAGTTCTAAGTGAACGCGCCCGAGCGAGTCCGCTTACCATCCAGCACTTGGATGGGATGCCTACTTGCTAAATAGTTGGCGAACTTAAGCGACTTGTTAAGCAACTTGCAAGTTGCCTAACTTGAGTAAGTCTGACTTAGCGGACTTACAACCTGGCTAAGTCCACTTGGCGAGTTAGAGGACTTAGCTAACTACTTAGAACTGCTCAGCATCTGCTTAGCTAAGTCCTCTAACTCGCCAAGTGGACGTAGCCAGGCTGTAAGTCCGCTTCGCCAGACTTGGCGGCCTTACTAGCTCAAGTTAGGCAACGTAAGTTGGCCAATTACGTAGCAAGTAGGCCGCCCGTCCAAGCAGGCATGTGTGCAGTGCTGAGTCGGTGTGGTTTGCCGACAATTTGGTATGCGGTTGCGCGCGAGCAGGTGCGCAAACCTTTTGGAAAGCCGCAGTGCTGAACGGGCGCGATTTGGAAGCCGTGTGTGCAGCGCTGAGCGGGCGCGCGTGAGAGGGCACGCTTCCCCCTTTCAGCGCTGAGCCGGTAAGCGCAAGCGTGTGCGCTTGCCGTTGGGCAGACATGTGTGCATCGCTGAGCAGAGCGCGTAAGCCGGCGCGCGTACTATTTGGCAGGCATGCGCACAGTGCCCTTGCCATGTAGCAGGCGTATGCGCAGCGCTGACCGCGCGAACGTGAGCGGGTGTGCCTTTCATGTGACAAGCGTGCGCGCAGCGCTGCGCGGATGCCCGTGAGCGGGAGTGCTTACCATTTGGCACGCACGGGTGCGTGTTAGCGGGTGCACTTTTCCACTTGGCAGGCAGGCGCGCAGTGCTGAGCAGGCGCGCGTGAGCCCGCGCTTACTATTTGGCAGGCGCGGGTGCAGCGCAGAACGAGCTCTTGACCCAACGTCGTGCGTCCGTGGCATCGGAGAATACGTCCTTGGGGTTGCGCCGGAGCGCCTTACTGGAAGGAGCAACAACAACAGCAACACCAACAACAACCAACCACAACCAGCACCACTACCAACAGACAACAAACAACAAACACCACAACAAAACAACAAACACACATCCAGCAACCAACAACACACAACCAACAACCAACAGCCAACAATCACAACAGCAAAGAAACACAACAACAAACCAACGAGGCAACAAACCAGACACAACCACAGGAACGACGACAACAACAACAACAACAGCAGCAGCAGCAGCAGCAACATGAACAGGAGCAGCAACAACGACAGCAACAGCAACAGCAAAGACAGCAACAACAACAACAACAACAACAAC